GCCCTAATCAGAGGCTTTGCTATGAATAGAGTTGTTTTTAGCGAAGAATCAGGTTCCGGGGTTCTCGCACGATCCCATCAGGATCCTGGCTGTGACTAGCTCGGAGGAGCGAGATAGGTTGCTTTGTCCTTGTCGGGCTCTTAGGTTTTATCTTGATAAAACCAGGGGGGGCGGGGCTCTCGATCCCGTCTGTTTTGCCCATTAAACAGGGGCAACGAGATATCTCCTCCCAGTCGGTTTCCAGGTGGGTTTGCCAGGTGATTTAGTATGCTTACGAGCATTTTGATGATCTGGCTCGGGCGAGAGTGAAAGCGCGGTCTCACGAGGTCAAGGCCCTTGCTTCATCCTGGGCCCTTCTGTCAATGAGTCCTCCTTTCAGGAGGTCATGTCTGCAGTATTCTGGCAGGGCAGGGATACCTTAACAGATTTTTATCTGTGATCCCTAGCTTCCCACTCAGAAGGCCTGTATTCATTGGGACCTTTGGTGGTGGCATAGTCAGTGGCTGGGCCTCCTCGTTAGCCCCGGGCCATGTCTTTCCGTACGGCGGCATGTGGGTACACCTGCTCTTTCACAGAGAGGTCCCTTCCTTCACTTTAGCACTATGTTCTCCCTCCCTACTACTTTGGTTGTGCTGAAGGGGCTGCCTGGCTTCTAGTCACCACTACGGTAAGACGAATTCGCATACTAAAGTTATGGTAATTATTACTGAAATGAAATTGAGGTTTTTTAATGTAAAACCAATTTTCATGATGTAATACTTACCATAACTTTATGGAGTCCCACCCTATCCTCCCCTCTTCCTTATCTGCCTGGCTGCCCCTCTGTGGGGTTTACGCCATAAAGGTTATTAGAGGAAGGGAGATCACTCTGCGTTCCTGCCGTGATGGCTCATGGATCGTAGGGAGGGCGGGATTGTTTTTCTTTTGAATCTTTTGTTGTTGGGATACAAAGATGGGTGTAGGTACTGTATTTGCATACTAAAGTTATGGTAAGTATTACATCATGAAAATTGGTTTTACATTAAAAAACCTCAAATCACTGCAGGTGTGACATTTGGCCATCTTGGATTTGACATTGAAAGATTGTTTTAATGCCCTTTCTCGAGAAGTACAAATTGGACATTTTACAAATTTCTTCTGAAGGTGCCTCTTGGTTGCATGTTGTCATGTTGGTTTTGGAACTGATACAAACAGATCCAACTTTTAAAGAACAAAAATCAGAAAATAGCAGATACCAAGAACCCTCTTGGTTATCTTGCTATTTCATTATAATTAGTTTGCATAAGAAAATTGTATCATTTACTCACAAATTGTTATGAAGTTACATTCACAAACAAATGACGCAACAAACAATACCTGCTCACAAGAGCAGAAAACTCTGCATTAAGTAAAGACAGAATAGCCGCGTAAATGAAACATTTCTATATGATGAACATTTTGATGTGCTCATTCCCTGACTTTGAATTGAAGAATATGTGTTGGCCTTCTGGGCTTACTGCAGGGTGAATATGCTACTTATGGTTGTCAGAAACTCTTCTAAAATCCTTAACAATTATCATACAATGGAAACCACTTAATGTCACATATTGGTTGTCACCCTCCAGTTAATATCATATTTTCTTGAAACACCAAGAATCTGATAATGTTGGCTATTTTCCTGCTGAAATGCTTAATATCACTTTATTTCAGCAAATATCATAAAAAACACAGGTAAATAAAAGGCAAGTGCGGACAAGCACTGTGAATTCATACCTTAATGAAGCACACCTGACGTGATATGTTAACATCATCCCTTCGCTACTAGCCAACATCTCGTAGACTTCCTATACAATAGATTGGCCTTACCTTTATGCTTGAAAGGTCCCGGAAAGCTTGTTGTGTTTGTTTTTTAAGACGCTGTGTGTCTTATAGCCGTCATCCAGCTTGCAAGGCAATTTATAGCTTGGACCAAATTTTACACTACATGAACACCTAACAAGGCACTTATACCTCCGCGGAAAAAACTGCAAAAACATAATTAGATGTCATGTTTTAAATGACAACTTGGAACTATTTTATCCAGATTTTACTATGCTTCTTTTCAGTTGTGGAAGAAAAATCATATCATTTACACTGTTCAATTTATCTCCCTTCATCCATACTTTTGTGTCTTATACACCAGTTATTTCGCGATAATGTTTTAACTCCAAGACATAACTAAAAAGATGTTGAAAATTTTGATTATTCTATGGAAGATATAAGTGTTGCATAGATGAAAGGGTAACTAATTTCTGACATAATTTTAAAACCAGAAGTTGTGTATTTTAGTTTCTTTTCATTAGGCTTACAACCACGGATTCTGAGATCAAGTTTCTGACATGATTTATCAAATAGATGTTTGAAAATTTTTTCATTTTTGATATAAATTTGTTTATATAACAATAAATTAATTGATCAGTTTGTGAAAAAATTTATAATATGAAACAACATTGACTAGTGTAGAGTTAGCTTTTTATGAAAAAATTCTCCAAAAAACATCTCCATGAATACCAGAAAATATTCGAACCTCCAGTGGCCTATAACAGTGCACTACACTGCAAAAGGTGCAGATTTTAGAGTCACATTTGACTGGACATGATCAGTTATTACCTCTGCAATCACACTCATCCACCATAACGATCATATGCAGATCTTATCATGACTGTATGTCTTGAACCTTCATATGATATATATATAATCAGCATGACCAATCACTCAAGATTATATGCTAAGCCGTATTGATATACCAATTCCTTTACTCCTTTATTTCAATACACATCATGCACAGCGTCCATGAGTGTCCTTGACACTAATAAATTGGCTAGTGCAATCTAAACGTTAAAATTGGTTTTACACCCTTCATCTCACAGAACATGTCACAATGTGTGAGTGGGTGCCATGCCCCTACATGCTCTGAAACTTCCTTAAAATGAGTCTTTTCTATTAATATTTAGATTGATTTCTAAACAGCAAAGAATGTTTTTCAGATTTACAATAGATTCTGCATGTTTTGTTTTTGTTTGTTTTTTACAATGATATGTGGGGCACCAAATCAGGGCATATCAATGTTGTCATTATGAATGTGGACATGAACATACTCCCAATACAACACTAAAGATGCTAAAATAAAAGAATATGAATTTTTTGTTTCATGTAAGTTTGTAGAGATTTCATAATTGTTTTTTCTAAATGGTTCCTTTAGTGTACATAGGGTATCGTATGGAATATCGATTAGAAAATCTGGTTGGTCACAATATCACAATATTTTTATCTTTCAAGTTATTTATTTGATCAATTATGGGGAACAGTGGTAAGGTAACCATGAAAATTCAGTTCTTAAACTGGGTTTACTGTATGCAATGTTGGTTTTTTTTTTTAAATAAGCAGTAATATTACAGCAAATGAAACATGGCATTCCAAAGGTGATATAACTTAACAGGGCTGTTTTTGTTTTCAAAGGTAAAAAAAATCTGAAGAATATTTTAAAGAATTCACAGATATATATATATATCAAATGTGTGATGAGGCCATATCTGATGAAACACAGTTATATATGAATATGACCCATGTGTTGAAAACTGAAAGTCATCACTGTGATTCTGAGACAAAGCATATGAACAACCTTTTGTCTTCAAACGATTTATCTAAGGAACATGTCAGCGTGGCGCTTATATATGCATATGCATACTAAAGATATGGTAATTATTACCGAAATGCAAAAATGTGTCAACTGTTAATGTCATAATTGAGTTGTTTTCACATTTTTTCCTGACAAATGGCATATGATATTTAGTGGTTTTTACAGTATTCGTTATATTTAGATATGGTGAATATCCATTTATCAATTAAGATACAAGTTCCTGTACATTCATCACATAACTGGCCTATGCTGTAACATGCACACATATCCAGGTAACCTGTACAGAAACTTGTGGAAGGTATGCCTGTTCTATCTTATTGTGATGGCTTCATAATGAAAGAAGCTAGTAATTGTGGGGCTCCTTGAAGGATTGCCTGATTCTTGCATGTCTTCTGCTTATGGGATATTGGAGACCATAGAATAAAAATTGCCCTATCAAATGGCCTCGGTAAATTGGGGATTTCCTTCTTTGTCTTCCACTGGGGATATATTCACACATGCATCACTCTCATTTATTCTCTCAAATCTGATCTTTTTACAGTGTTTTGTCTTATGATGACCCCTTAGCATTAGAAAGTGGCTACAGAAACAACATACACGTATATAACATATTGCCCAGAACACCATCTGATGCCTCCTGTGTTGACCCCAATAACATTACACAGTTGAAGGGTCGGCATTTGTCTTATTCCAAAACTTGTTTTATCTTTTTTATAATTGATTTCATGGTTTATGTTTTACTTTATCACATTAATATGAATATTTGATATAAGAATCTTTCACTTGTAGTGTTAATTAGAGTTGATGAATTCATAAATAGAATCTTACAATTGTGATTAAGTTTAGAATTCATAAAACTTGTAATACAATATATCCTATAGGCTTTACACTTGTATATGGGTGAAAAATTAAAGAAAACGTTTCAGTACCTCTGATTTGTGTACAAAAAGGAATGTAGTTTGTTTTGCTAAATTGCAATAAAACTTATGTTTGTAAATAGAGTGCTGATGTTTGTGGTTAACATATCTTTGTGTGTTATTTTGTGTTCCCCTGTCATTGTCATGTAGCTGAATGTATTTCTTGAATGTTTATTTATCATACTAAAACCACCTTTCAAAGAATTTCAAGTATGTGAATTTCCTAGATTATATATGTATTGGCCATATTTCGCAGTGTTCTTTTTCTGGACCTATAAATACATTCCATGTAATCAATGTAAGACATCACTTAATAAGATCAACAAGATCTTACATTAGACATTTATTGAAAAATATGCAACAGTGATTTCAAATCATTTGATATGCTGGAACAAAAATTAATTAATTCTTTTTGTCTCTTTCAGATCTGAAGAGGTTTGGAACACATGCATATTTCCTACTGGTTGATCAAAAATTCAAAGGATAAGAGATGACTTTGATAAATTCATCTCCATTTTTTCTGGAGTTTGTGAAGATATTTGGTCCTTAAAAGAAGATTCAATGGCTGGCAATTTCTATTGTTGTTGAAGTCAGAAAAAAGAGCATAGCACAGCTTCATACAATTTCTTCAATATCTTGGATACTGCAGGGATAGATTGAGGCATGTGGTAAGTAGTTTTAAAAGGTAGACAACTGTCTGCTTTGGTAAATATTTTTAAAAAGTTAGACAACTGTCTGCTGGTAATTAAAACTTGTCACCTTTGGTAACTAAATGTTTTTCTATCTAAATTTCTTCTGGGATGTTGTGACATTCAATATTGAACATATATACACAGCAGAAGCTGTTCCAAGATAGCTCTTCATATCATATTTTGTCTGATATGTCTCCTTAAGACTGTCATAAACAATTCTTGTGATCACTGTTTCCAAGTCACTGCTTCAGCAATCTTTTTGAAATAAAGGATAGTTTTAGTCAACAATCATCAGATGATAGGCTGTTCAAATCACTCTTCAATCATCATCAAACCTCCTTCCTTTGATACTTCTTGGTAATCATTATTTCTTGAAAAGTGCTAAATAGATCTTTAACAAATTTCATGCCTAGGTTCCCTATGGTCCCTAGTTGTGTTTTTTCGAATTTAGGACTCAACAGAAATTTGTAATGGCTGCCATATTAGATTTTGACATTGAAAGATTGTTATTGCTCTTTCTTCATTTGTATTTTTCCCTTGTTCCCATTTTGTGCCCTTTCAATTTTTGTTATCACTATTTCTTGAAAAGGATCTTTTTCAAATTTCATTTGTAGGTTAGAATTTCCCTTAGTCCATAGTTACATCCTTTGATTTTGGCAGAAAGGTTAATGGAATGAAGTCTGACCAAGTTTTCAAAATGAACTGACAACCATATTCAAGTTTCCAGGGGTCAAACTTGATTTAAATTGAACAAATAACAGAATGATGAAATACGTACATTTAATAATCTACATCATATATCAAAAGTTCAAATATACATCATGACCTAACTCATTCTATTCATATATCATTATATTATAAACCAGAATGTCGTAAATTGTTTGGCATCTACAGGATAGACTCGACTTAAAAACCATGGTACCATCATTCCTGTTGGTTTAGATAGTGAATATGTAGCTAAGCAGACAAAGTCTCACAGATTACTATATATATAACAGATTATGTTGTGGCTGTGAAGACTCAACGGCGACATATTATGACCGCAACTTGACCATATATGGTATTGTAGCCGTACAAGTACTACAATACTGCATAGGGGATGCAAAAGACAAAACTGCAACTGTGCACATTCATTTGCAACAGATTACTATGATAATGTATTGCAAACCTAATTCAAGGAAGCTTCCTTCCCACTTCGACTGACAAGTACATTGAGCTCAAATCGAATGTTTGGCAGTGTAGCTGTATGTGATGTTTACACTAATATCTCCCCTAAATTCTGTAAATAATTGATATTTTTGGGGGGAGATTTAATAAGGAATACTAAATAACTATCCCTCTTAGTATTCAAATAAAAACCAGACGAAATCTCAGGTATATCAATATATGATACTACCCATTAAAAATAAATGTACATGGTTTCTTGTGATTCACAAAAAATACCATATCTTGCTGCCATTGCCTGTTACCTTGTTACATAAATAGATATGATCAGGATCAAGGTTACAGATGATAGATTGGTTACACATTCTTTTAGTCAGGTGTATACAAGATATGCAAGGGGTACATTTTAAACAGGTGTATAAAAAAGTACCTGGGGGTTGGGGAATAGACAAAGGCTTGGAGGGGAAGGCTATTGGGTTTGCTCATGTTTGTTTGTTTTGGGGGGTGGTGGCGCTTTTTATACAGGGGAAGTACATTTTAGTCGGTGTATAACAGTATCCAGACGCCTTTTATACAGGGGAAGTACATTTTAGTCGGTGTATAACAGTATCCAGACGCTTTTTATACAGGAAGTATATTGTAGTCGGTGTATAACAGTATCCAGATGCCTTTAATGGAGGAAGTACATTTTAGTCGGTGTATAAAAAGTATCCAGATGCCTTTAATGCAGGAAGTACATTTCAGTCGGTGTATAAAACGTGTCCAGACACCTTTTATGCAGGAAGTACATTTCAGTCGGTGTATAAAACGTGTCCAGACACCTTTTATGCAGGAAGTACATCTAATACGTAACACTGGACATCCTCAGAAAAAAGTTTTTTTTTTTTTTTTAGCTTTTTAGTTTTTGGTTTCCTGTTGAGCATCAGAATGACTCATATATAATACATTTGCAGTAAGTGATAAATTGATAACCAAAAAAAGAAGAATAAACAGAAAATCTGAAAATTCATTTTATCCGTATTGCATGTCCATTTGTATAAGGTTTAAACCTTAAAGAGGTGTTAAATCTCCATTGTGTTTACAGAGAAATAGTGGTTGTTTGAGTATAGCATCAATATTTTCATGTCCTTACTGATACAATACACTGAGGTGTAGATTGATGACTGATGTGTCTATTTCATGTGATATGGGTTGTGTGCTATTTTGATTTAGATGTCAGAAACCTGTATGGACTACAGACTGTAATCTTCAGTATGTCACGACATATCAAGTTCAATATTTTATGGGATTTGTACATGTTACACATAGTAACACCCATACATGAACCTTCAGTCTCCTGATGCAGTCACTGATGGAAGTCACAGTATTAATTGCAGTCATTGAACTGTATAGTGTTACCTTGCCTACATGTAATCCATTAATCAGCCTTGGAATAACATTTAAATTATTTACAATTGTTCGTTGTTGAAAGGACTTTGATTGGGATATTTATGAAATGCTTTGCAAAATGCCTTTGGTCTACTTTTGTGCTGTTTGTGCACAATGTGGCTGTCTTAAATTCTCTCCGTAAACAAGTTATCGTAAAAAACTGCCTAATACTAGCACTTACATTATGTGCAAGATACTTATTGAGGTTGAAAAAAACGAAATATACTTCTACTTGCATAATGTGCCCATCCACAATTTCTGTCAAAAATTATGTCAGTGAGCCAAGAAATTGATCTCAGAATTTTCAGCAAACACATCATACTAACAAAATAAAATAGAAAACTTGAAAGTTTTCTCTTCGAGATTGTTTCATCTCCATTATTGACTTTTAATTACCTTCTTCTCTTTCATTATAGGTACAATACATTTAAAGAAAAAAAAATCTGCCTTATATTTGTGCACTTCTTGTTGTCTTTGATTTCAGACACATTACACTGAATCACATACTTACCTATCCATTTAATGTAGATTTGTTTATTTATTTGTTTTACACAAACTCTTGTATTCACACAATCTAATCAACAGTGGTCAGTTGAAATCACAGGTGCATGTAATTATTTACCTATTAATAACCAAACCAGGTTATTGCAGTCCCCATGAGTCTCAAGATTTCTTTTATGTCTCGCTGCCACATCATGCTCGTACCTGCTGACGTAAAGAGAGGCCCAAACACTATATATGCAAGTGATTGATAAACAGAGAAAGGAATGATCAAAAAAGGAACAGTGTTTCACTACACATTTTGTTAAGATATTTAGGCCAAGACTGTCCCTGCACACTAATATGGAGACGTAACTTCCATCAATACACATGAAAATGGACATGTGCTCATGGCTTCATCGTGATATCCACCATGACAGAGAATAAAATGAAACTTGACAATATTTTAACAGTCGAACATGTAATCATTTCAAAAGATAATCATATTTTGACAAAACAATTTTCAATATCTCAAACAGGCCACTGTCTTTACCAAACGGTCGTTTCCTGTCCTGCTAGTTGCTTTCATGTTTTTGAACATTTCATCCTGATTATGGGTGATATTGACTCAGATTGTTTGCATTAACATATATATTCAATTATTACCTTATTTATTACCTTATTGTTCATAAATGAATCATCAAATTTTTTGTGTCAGTTTTCCAGACCAGACAATCCTGACAATCGGTGATGGTGGCTTCACAAAATCTTTTTATATCTCATGAACAACTTGATATGATAATAGCTTGTTTCAGATATCTATACAACAGTATTGAAGCATGATTCAAGATATATATCTGATTAGGTTGTGGTTGTTATCAGTTAAAAGTAAAAGATGACATCAGATTTGACATCTTTTGAAATGAAATAAAAGATGACGTGCTTATCATTTTATTAGATGGCTTGAAGACTTCTAAATGTACATTCAGTTTTTACTAAAGAAGTAAGAAGACAAAAAAAAATAGCACAAAATCCTGTTCAATACCTGAGTAGGCTGGAAAGGGTCAACTGTCAAGGTGAAATGGTCAGTTGCTAAGGTGAAATGGTCAGTTGCCAAGGTGAAGTGGTCAAGGTCACATTTAACCCTTACTTGTACAGTGTTCTATAAAATAATCCAGTATCAAGTAAAATATTGTGATCATGTGAAATGAAGCTTTTTAGAAGTCATCAAATGCCTCAAAAAATAAATCCAAAAATTGATTATGAACTTCTGAATAAAAGTTGGGAAATATCCGGTGATTCTAGGATTTTTCACGATTTGAGCTTGTCAATTCTATGACCAATATCTAGTTGGCCAGACAAAACCAGGTGTGGTGTGATTCTGATTTAATATATAATAATCACTGACACAAAACATTCAATAAAAATGTTCTAAAAAAAACCAAAAAAAACAAAAAAAACTGGGTGAGCATGACTTTGTGCCATAAAAAAAGTTATTTCAAGACATAAAGAAATCCTATCACCTTTGAAATAGTTGTCATGAAATACAAGCAATAATAAAATATCTTTATGTTTGGTGTTGAGAATATCCCGATACCATTACTTGCTGATTTTTTTTTGTAAATCCAAGTCCATCAAGAATTATATCTAATTACACGACTGTAAGAAATGTTTAAAGTAGAAAATAATTTGGGAAATATTTGTTCAGGGAATTCATAAGGAAAAAATGGCTCTCATTGGAATTCTGTATAAAACTAATTAATTTAATTATCAACAAAGAAATTCAATCAAAGGGACTGGTAGTTCGTTAATGGTAGATTTCCCAGTAGCATGGAAATGTTGTATGATTTCTCAAAAAGTTGGTATTGATTTTAGATCATTGTACATAATTCTACTGGCATATG